GATCTTGGTTAACTTAGGATCTGTTCGGAGAATAAGCTTCAAATTTTCCTATGCTATTTGTGTTATATCTCTATATGAATCTGAAAGCTTGGCTCATGGCTAGGGTTTGTTCTTCAGATATGTTAAAATTGTAATTCTTGGAGTCTGGGTGGGTTGAGCAATTCAAAAGGGCAATCTTAGACTTCTGAATAATGATCATAGTAATAATAAATATATATGATCATTTAAATGTCATGAAAAAAAAACTTAGAAATTTTTATTGATATGCTCATATGCATGAGCTCTATTTGCATAGCATTCTCGTAGTACCTACGCACGCTAATGCAAGATTCAAGGTGGAGAAAAAATACGTATAATCCAACAATTGCACTTGTAGAAAAAGTATTTCTGACTTGAATTTGGGACCTCCAGAATACCCTAAAGACAACTTAAGAATTACAATATGCCGAAAATCATAGCTATCTAATATATAATATTACAAGTATACCACCTTAATTTAAACCTTCCTATTATTATTTCATTCAGTAAAATATCATTGATATGTATAATCTAACTCCGCCACAACATTGTCCTCGGACCTCCTTTCAAATGTCATTGCTAGAACTCCGCCCAAACCCAGCCATAGGACCTCCACCCATTCTTCGCCCCCCTCACTGGCCAACCATTACAAAACCACCCCTCGACCAAGCACCACCACACCTCCCCCTGGCTGTTGATCACCGGACTTCTGATTGGCCGCCATCATCAAACCTGCACCCGAACATTGCTGTTGGACCTCTGCTTGACGAGACGCAGCCAAACCTCTACCCAATCATCACGGTCTTCACCATCCAACCTCCCGTGTTAGACAACTGTCACCCAACCAACATTTTCAACCTTTCGATAGCTTACCACATCAATTTGGCCTCCCCCACCATACCACTGTCATACAACCTGTGGTTATTCAACTCTAAGCACCCATACGAACTTCAACTGATTCTCCATATTATTATAATTTCACTATCTCCAAGTTAAGGGGTAGACCAATCTTTGTAATATGCTCATACGTAGAGGAATCTCTTGAATTGGGCAAGGCCCCATGATTTTTTTTAACATTTCACATTTTTCACATAAAAAATCTCCGATGTTTCCAAACTCTTATTTATCTGTTTTTATTGGACATACATGCACCGCTAGGATAAGACGTTATCCCTCTACAAACATAAATTTTCTGGTACGCAATAATCATAATTATTTTTAACCATTGATGAATAAACTAACTCTAGAATTAGATTTGGACAATCCCAAGGAACTGCCAAGCCTAATTTATTTTGAGTTGAATTTAAGCCGAATAGCTCAACATGTTTTAATTTTTTGGTTTTAGGTAGGGGTGTCAAAATCAGGTATCATGTCGTGTTCAGGTCGAACCCGGGTTCAAACGGTTTGACCCTAACCCGGCCTAGTTTTGTAAACGGGTCTAAAGTTCAGACCCAGAACCGACCCGTCAGGTTACCGGGTTTACCCGTCCCAACACGGTAACCCGAATTTTACTAGTTCGAGTCACTACATGAAAATCAATGATTTGCTGCGGGCTTTGCGATGGAAAAATTTTTCGACAAAATTACAGTGGATTTGTAGCGGAAATTTCCATCACTAAATTTGTGATGGAATTGCAGCGAATGTGATGGATTTTTCGCCACAAAATAGCCACAATTCTTTCATAAAATTGCCACAAATTCGGCACAAATAAGTTTATCTAAATTGATATCCAACTCATTTATTTCATTCTCTCGACCTAGCTTTGTCTCCTTCGTCGATGGTGTTCCTTGCTCGCGAGTTCTCACTAACTGGAGCTCGCTCGCTGTTAAGGTAACTTTCTCTCTTTCGCACGTCTTCCACCAAATCCCCTAAATCCGCTGAACTAAACGTTCATTAAATCTAGGAATTAGGGCAAAAAGAGGGAAACAAAGGTTTATTGGATTGGAAGCCACAATCGGAGCTCACTTGCTGTAAAGGTAACTGTTATTCAAACTTGAGATATTTAAAGCATGCACTCTTTTTAATAACTTGATCACTCAATTCCACAATCTCACTCCTAAATATATTACTACTAAAATTACACTATTTGTATTAAGTTTTAGATCTACTAAAACCAAAAACGTTAGAATCTAAAGTTGAAATTCATAATTCAAGTTGTTCAATAACTCGTACTCAAGTTTTATTAATAAAAAGAATATCATCAGCAAAAAGTATACATCACAATACATTCTCTTGCAAATGTCACATAAGAACATCTATGACTAAAGCAAAACGACATGGGCCTAATGTTGCTCCTTGAAGTAAACTAATCGAAATTGAAAAATACTTGGTCAAACCATCTTGTGTTTTTCTAAAACTCTCCATATTAGTTCTAAGAATTTATCATATGCTGGCTCTAAATCAATAAATATCACATGTAGATCCTCTTTACTCTCTATGTAATTCTCCATTAAGCCTCCAAGCAAACTTATAGCTTTCATAGTAGACCTAGCAGCATGAATCTAAACTAATTTTGAGAAATATTAGTGTCATGTAGTTTGCCTAGGCATTTCTACACTTCTTTTTGAATTTTGTATGCCAATAAATTCATTGATTACCTTAGGCATTTCTACACTTCTTTTAGAATATCATCATGAGGTCCTACTACTTTTCCACATTTCATTTTCTTTAAAAGCCACTCCAACTACTACAACATAAAAGAGAGGGAAAACTTAAAATAGGGAGAAAGTAGGATGTCTTGCCCAATGTTTCAAATTTGTAGAGTAATTCCAATACCAATGATGAACTTGTTTGAGCATTATTATGGTGTTGATTTCTATAAATAGTATGTAGTGAGAGTTAGGCGGGAGGAAGCATTAATGTCTAGGCACTAATTAGTTGAAGAGGTCGTACAAACTCCATCGGTCGAGCATGACAACGAGCATACATATTTTGATTAGATTTTCGCGTGAGATAGCTTTTGATACATTTGTTGTCGTTTGATGTATAAGTTATGTTGAAACTATTACGGTGTTATAATTTTTTTTTTAATTTTATTGAATATGGTTGTTTGTTCATTAATTAGTGTAATTTGCATAGTATTATTTGATTATATTTGTTTTGCATAACTGTTTTTTATAACTACTTGGATTGTAAATGTTGGAAAGCCCAAATAATGATTGTATGAGCTATTTTTTTATGCTACAAGTTTGTGGCGGATTTGTGAACATCAAACGCAAATGATGATACGACGCTTTGGTATCAACGTTTGTAATGGAACTATCCATCACAAATTGCACCTGATTATCCATCGCAATTTGTGACAGAATCTGCGATTGCAAAAATCAAACAGCCTTTTTATTCCTACACAAATATGTGACAAATCCGCAGCAAAATATTTTACGATGGATTTTGTCCGTCGCAAATATGTTTGTGATGCTCATTATAACTTCAGAACCAAATTCGTTGCAAATCCGCCGCAAAATAAGATTTGCGACGAATTTCTCAAATTTTGTGGGGGATTCTGCCCCTGCAATTAACTTGTGAATTTTTCTGATAGTAAATCATCGAGTGAGAACGTGTGTTACACGCTGGTGGTCACGCTCACCCTTTGGGTGTAGGGGAGCCAGGGTGCGGTACGGGGCTCACGTTATGAGCGGACGCATGGAGCGAGAACCGGAGCAGGTGCTGGGGAGCCAGGCACCAACTAGGCCCTAGAGTTTGGTTCTATGCGGGTCCTGCGAGAGCGGCAAAGAAGTCTGGTGCAGAGCTAACGTTCTAGGGTTCGGTCCGGTGCAAACCTTAGCGCGGGACAGTGGGGCAGCAGGGACTCACGACTGCGGGAGTTAGGGTCCGCGTCGATTTTGAGTGATTCTCGGATTTTCGGTTCAAACCGATTCTGACCCGTTTTTTGAAATGAGTCAGTTTGTTGAACCTGAACCCGACCTGTATGATAACAAGTTGACCATAACCTGAATTTTTTGAGCCTAGTTCGGATCAGATTTTCAAGTCATGTTAAATATTGATATTGGCACCCCTACATTTAAGTATGATGCATGCTTGATATATGACGTTTTAAGTTACCGCGTACTCTTGATAGAGCATATTATAGAAGAACGCTTAGACTAAATGTAAAATAGAAATGCTACAACATGAAAAGGATGAGGATGCTGTTCAGCACATAAAGAAATAAGATAAAGCGACGCAAGAATGAGAAAACCAATTCAAAATCAAGCAGAATATCAACATTGCTCCACTAACAATTAATATAGGAGCTCCTCTCTTCTCAACTGTCCAACTCCAAGCACTGGATTTATATTGGTTTGACAGTAGTTTATCCTTTTAGAACACATCATACTTAGAATATGGCCTTAACCTTCATTAGACCTTCAGCATATTCACAGCAAGCATGGCCAGTTGTCAGGTGTCAAGAAGATTTGTAGGAGTATTAACAGACTAGCTCTTTAATCCGATTTTAACAAAGTTTTGGCCCCTACACAAAGTAAACGGTTCTTCACTATACAGTTGTTAATCATAAGGGTTCTGTTAATTCTAACACAAAATAATTTTGTAAAAGAGCTAAAAGATCTCCAAACAAAACAAGAAATGTCCAATACTGCCTGATGGGAGAAACCAGTAAAAATTTCTTGTTGAGAAACTGCTAACGTTTAGATTTAAAGGGGGAAATAATGAAGAGATGCACGACAGATCTATGGTTGAAAACTGATCTCTATTCCTAGAAAATTTAACATTCTAACTGCAACTTTCTTTATGGTAAATTTAGCAAATATATATATTTATTGAACTAACGTGATAAATTTCTCTTACAGGAAGTAAGCTAGTTATAATATTCAAAAGCTTCTGGAAACAGTTAGATTTGAAATTTCTAGTTTTTACAAAGAAATTAAAAACCAGGAGCAACTCAAAGGCTCAAAGCAGGCCCAGTGGTCCAAAAAACTATTCATGGCCAAGGTCTGAAGAATTAAAGTCCATAAAATCACTTGTACGTAAAGTAGAATATCATTAAATAAAGAAGTTTCATAGCAGAACATTCCCCACTTTGCAGCGCAGACTTAAAAGTTAAGCTCTAGCAATTACTGACGGGATGGTTTACAGAGTAGTTCAGCTCACCACGATAAACCAGAAGAGCAGTGAAGGCTATAAAATGCCATTTTATTACACCTTTTGGAAGAGTCAACCAACCACAAAGCCAGTGAGCCCCAAATGAATCATGACCACCAAATTTGAGAATTTTGTTATTTCTTTATAGGTATTTCCAGTCACTCAAGCCAGCCTCATCGTCCAATTCATAAGTCACAAGCAGACTTAATAAGATTATAAGAGCATCACCAAACAAAAATCCCTTTTTTCACTCCAAAATACAGTGAAACTCAAAAATACCGTGATTTATCTCCAATAGAACTCCACTTTGCGAACTTCTGCGAAGGTAATAATCTTTCTCCTCTTTGGCGCGTTTCTTCGGCAAAGCTGGTTGAGATAGAAAAATCGCATAGGTGAACAGTGTAATGCCAATATTGGCGTCGCACTGTTCACCCGCAAGCAAATAGCGGAAGATTTGACGTTCGGCGAGCGACTGACCGACGTCATAGTTATGTTTGGCGTTCAGTTGGAGATGCCCTAAGCTACATACTGCAAAAACTATTAGGTAAAATGAACAGTTGGTGTAAAGAATTTAATGGCAGCATGCTAAGAATGGTTGGCGAGAGAGATTCAAGGTATAAGATAAATTGGACAGCAGGAAGTAATGCATAACAGTTCGGTAAGGAGAATTTATCACATGATGGACATTAATAAAGGCTGGTAAGGAGAATTAAAAAGAAAAAAAAATATGCATTTGCCCTAATAAAGTACTGATGACTTTCCTATTTCCTAAATGCTTAAGAAAATCATTTGAACAACCATTCAACGTTGTTTTATAACATCATTTCCTTTCATAATCAAGAAGCCATAGCAAATAAAATAAAATAAAAAATATGCAAGAAAAGTTACCAAGGCTCTTGATCGATATAGTTGGTAAGGGTGTACTTATTGCAAGTGACTCCCGCCAATATGAGTTATTGGAAATGGGGATGTTGATGTATGCATTCTTATCTGCATGGCAAAGATGTTAAAACCCTAAACTTCAAAAAAGAAAAAAAAAAAAGAAAAAAAAGTGGAAGTAATGGAAACAAAGCAGCTTTGTATTCTGCAGCTATAAAATGAACAGAAAAAGAAGAATAAAAAACCTATTCCTCAAAACTGACATGATTCATATATACAATGATGATTTTGATAATGACCTTAAACCATCTAATGGTCCAGCCGATGTGACTCTTCATTTGAATAGATTGCCAAAAACTGCATTTCAAAAGCTGGATCCACGTGAAAAACACGAGGCTAGTGATGATGATTAATAAAATGGCACTGATTACCTTTATTTTGTGATTTCTAAGATGAAGGCCCGGATACTCATCAGTGATGCTGAAACATGTCAATACCATGGTTATTTCTTCTTTTATTTTTATCATAATTTGGTTCGATGACAAAAGAGAAGATGCGTGAAAAGTAATTGAAAGATAGAACCATTGCTCGTCTTGTTGCTTGCCAGAAGTTTTATGGCCATAGAGAGATAGAGAGTTAAACATATTAATTTTTTTACGAAAATCAAACATCTACATAGATAAGAGAGTTAGAAACATATTGCTTGGCCCAATTAAAATTATTCCAGTAGTATTTATCATAGATTGCAAATGATGCATTTTCCCAAGATTGAAAATATGTAGATAAACATATAGACATAAGTTTTACAAAACGAATTTCATGGTGGAAATTGAAGAAGCCTAGTCTCATATGAGTTGTCTTCAAAAGATCATTTCTTGTATATTTGGTCATATTTTGAGGAAGGGAGACTAGAGACCAAAAAATCAAGTATAAATCATAGTATTGATGCTAGGAGTCAAAGTTGATGTCAGTACTGTTCATTGATTTCACGTGCATTGGCCTTGGCAATGAAGTTTTCGGGTGAATGTTAGTGAGATGATAATGGTTAAAGGACTATAGGTCAGGGATGGTAGTTAGCCCACAATGATCAAAAGATTGTAGTTGGACAACATTGGTCAAAAGACCACAAGTCAATGAATGTGATTAGAAGATAATAATCAAGTGATCAAAGTCGGAGGAGCATAGTTGGGTGATGGTGATCAAAAGATCACAATCAGACAACATTATTCAAAAGATCGTAGTTGGCCGATTGTGGTTCCAGGATCATAGTCATGCAATAGTGGTCTGCGGTTTGTAGTCACTTCACAATTGTCTAAGGATTGTATTCATGCGATGATGGTCCGAGGAGAGTGGTTGGATGATGATGTTTGAAGGATCATAGTCAGTCAATGAAGTTAAGAATTATTGTGGTTGGTGTAGATGGTGTTCGGGAGGACCATTGTCGGATGATGATGGTCAAAAGGAACGTAGATGAACCATGGTTGTCGAGGGATGGAGTACAACGAAAGTGGTCAAGGGATTATAGTTAGGTAATAATAATTGGTGGATAGAAGTAAGGTGACGATGGTTGAAAGATCATAGTCAGACGATGGTCACAGTCAGGCGATAGTGGTCGAAGTATTATAAATAAATGATGGTAACATGGATGACATTGGTTAAAGGATCGAGTCTAGGCAACATTAGTCAGAGGACCGTAGTCGAGTGACATTGGTATAAGGACCATAGTCGGGTGATAAAGGTTGGAGGACCATATTCGGGGGACAAACGTTGGAGTACCGTATTCGGCCATCTGTGGTTCGAGGATCATAACATGCCATAGTTGTTGGAGGACTACAGTAGAAGCATGATTGACGATGGCAGTTAAACGATGGTTTGACATCAGTGATTGAGCAACGGTCCGATTGTGATGATTAGATATCGGTCCAATAATATTACTCAAGTAGATCTCTTTAAAATTCTTAGAGTCTTTTAGCTCTGGTGTATGAGTAGTGAGATGATAATGGTTAGGGAATTAATGGTTGAAAGATTGTAGTTGAATAATGTTCGTCAGAAGATTGTAGGTCAAAGATTGTGGTTAGAAGAAAGTAATCAAGTAACATAGGTCAGAGAGATATACTTGGGTGATGGTGATTGGCAGATCATAATCAATCAATAGTATTAAAAGATCATAGTTGGCTAGCATGGTTCAAGGATGGTAGTCATGTGATAGTGGTTCGATGATTATAGCCGCATGACGGTAGCCTGATGATCTTAGTCATGTGACAGTGATCCAATGAGAGTAGTTGAATGGCGGTGTTAGAATGCCCATAGTTGGAAAATGAAGGTAGAAATGATCGTGGTTGGCCAAAGGTGTTCAGAGGGGCTATTTTCGGGTGATGGTGGTTGGAAGGATTATAGTCGAATTATGATTATCGAGGAAATATAGTAAAGCTACCGTGGTCGAGGGGTAGTAATCAATTGACAATGATCAAGAGATTATAATAAGGTAATGATGGTCGAAGAATCATAGTCGGGTGATAGTGACTGAAAGATTATAGTTAGATAATGGTGGCCAGAATATTATATACAAATGATGGTAGTCGAAGGATTATGGTTGGGCAACATTGTTCAGAGGACCATAGTGGAGCGATATTGGTAGAATAACCATAGTCAAGTAATGAATATTGGAGGAAAATATTTGGGGACAAACATCGAAGTACGCCAGTCAGCCATATATGGTCAGAGGATCACAATAAGCCATAGTTGTTAAAGGGCTGAAGTTGAATGACGACAATTAAAGGATGATTGACGGCAGTAGTTAGACAATAGTTTGACACCAGTAGTTGAGCTGTAATATTTGCTAACCCAAAAACACATATAATTAAAGTTAATTAAGTTAAATACTCATTTGAAGCTGATGTAATGCAATTATAAGTTTTAGAATTTGTAACAGGGCTTGAATAAACCAAGGTTTGGTTTGGGAAAATGAAAACTAAAGGTTTGAAAAATGCGTTGTGGGCGTAGTTGGGCTTAGGATGCCAACACCGAGGCATTGAGCTCTCATATTTTTGGACAAAAAATAGGTTTTAGGTGTACGCTTAAGCGCTATGTCTTGAGTGAGGACATTCTAGGAGCATTTGGAAGATTCTTTTAGGGCATTGTGGCACTGGGAATGTGAGCATCAAGGTGTTATGTCAAAATAGTGAAATTATTATATTAAAATATCTAAAACCAATTGGCTAATCCATTTCCCCTAGCCACCTTGTCGGAGAAGAGAAGATGAGTAGGGAAGGAGAGAAGAGGAAAGAGAAAGAGAGGGAAAGGATTTGGAGGTCAAAGCTTGGGATCGGGCCAATTAAGAGCGCAAGGTAAACTTGTGAATCTCTGCCTTTCATTTTAATTTCCCCTATTTAATAAAAAGCTATGATTTAAAATATGTATTAATTGGATTTTACAAAATTTTCATATTGTAACTGTTGTGTTTTGTTCCTAGATTTAGGATTCTTTGTATAGGTTTTGTGTATGGCATATGTAGCCATTTGTGGGGCTATTTGTATAGCCTTTAGGAGTCTTTAAATAGATGTGTTTAGGCTTGTAATAGGTAGCCATGGAATAAAGGAATTATGCATTTGTGGCTCACGGTCCCCCTCTCCTCTCCCTCCTCACTCCCTCTCAAGATCTTGCAAGAAGATCTCTTAATCTTCCTTCTTGAGTTTCAACAGTAACTTTTTATATGTTGTTGTATGCTCTATTCTGAACATTTTGACTATAAGAAAACAAAATTTTATTGATTTGTTTTTCTTATGCAACTTGCCAAGTATATATTTTTAGTGAGGCTTTTTTTTGTTAATTATAAAAGTTATGTAAATGTCTTAAAATATTTATGTGGATGTCTCTCTAAATTTGGAAGTGAAACAGAAAAAATTCAGTGAGTATACTAGTATACATGTAATGTGATTTTTATAGGCAATTAATGTATTAATTGGACATTGCATTAGATTTCTATTTTAATTGCTATTGCATTACATTTGCATTGTGCATAATATGATTTTGGATATATTCTAAGATGTGAAAAAGTGCACTCTTTATTTATTATGGGATAAGGGCCCTGAATGTTTAACTCTGGTCCCATTTACTTAAGGCATATGTGGGAGGAATTTTAGCCTCACTTGTTGCAATTAGATGTGACGTATTATGTAACACTGCATGTACTCTTCTAGTCTCATGTACATAGGGAAAATGTGGGAGGAATTCTACCCAACTCGCTATAAACGGGCACGGGAGGTAAATCGAAGACATAAGTAGAAGTGAAGTTATAAGCAAATTTTGAGACATATGCATGATAATCATTGCATTACATTGATGTTAATAAAATAAGTATTAGTTCCAGGCCATTACAATGTTGAAATTTTTGAAACGAATTTTGAAGAAGTATGAAAGTCAAGTATAAGAGAATGTCTTAGGCTAAGTATTATGTGTGATATCTGGAATTTCTGTACAAGTGGCATTATAAGTAAGTTAAAATGTTGAGTATGTTCTAGGGCCCTAAAAATTGTGTTTCACTATTTAACTGTTGTTATATTATTTTAATGCTCTCTTATTGCATTTATATTTATATTGCAATTGATCCTTTTAATTTAAATATTGATATATGTGATGTGTTAGGATAGGAAGTGTCCTGAGCTAGTTATGCTAATTCAATTCTTTTAATATTTCAGGGAAAGGTAAAAGCCCTATTGAGTAGATCAAGTGTATAGGCAGGATTTTAGGTCTGGGTTAATAAGTTATTATTTTTGTAATGCAGCATTTAATTATTTGAAGTATAGAGTTCTATTATTTGGATTATTGTAATTATGTTTTGCTGGAATGAACTTTTGTTATATTGCTTTTATGATTTGAAATGTTAGTAGCTCTGGTTGTTATTATTGAATGGTTGAGTTAGATAATGATAGATTTAGGCAAAACAATCATTCCATTAGATCTTAGTGCGACACACGAGCAATTATTCGATCATGACGAATAAACAATGCCCCAATAGTGATGCTCGAGTGGATCTCCAAAATTCTTAAGAGCCTTTTAGAGTGAATGTCTAGTTAAAGATTGTTGACCTCAATTTTCTCTCAAATACTCTC